AGGGGGCGGGGCCTCGGGGCGGGGCCCCGGGAGGGCGGGGCGGGGCGGCGTCCCGGGAGCCTAGGTACTTAGGCGGCGCCCGCCGCGCCGAGCATCCCGCCCGCCGGCCCCCGCAGCCCTCGGGCCCGCTGACTTCTTTGTGTTCTGTTTCCGCCCCGCGCCTCGACTCCGCAGGACCGGTTCGTTCTTCTACGGGCTATAAAAAGGCAGAGGATGAGATGTCCCGGGCCACGTCTGTTGGAGACCAGCTGGAGGCACCCGCCCGCACCATTTACCTCAACCAACCGCATCTCAACAAATTCCGCGACAACCAGATCAGGTAGGAGAAGGCGGTGGAGTCACAGCCGAGTCACAGCAGCTCCTCCTGCTGCCCTGGGCTTCCGAGCCAGCCCCCGCTGCGCCTGCTTCCTCCAGCGCCTGCCACCCCGCCCTCCCCCAGGGCCTGGGGTCCTGTGAACACCGCTTTCACCTTCCTCTCCTTTGCATCTATTCTGTGCCCAGCCTGTCGGTGAGCCCCGAGGAGTTTTTATTCTAATGTCACCGAGGAAAATGAGCTCTCCCTGGGCTCCCTTCCAAGAATCCCCCCTAGTCTTGTTTTAAGCCAATTGGTAGCTCTCCTTAGCAATCTGCAGGCCGTCATGGAGGAAGGGAATGCTTTATAAGGGAATCTCACAGGTCACAAGGACTCACATTCAATTATAAATGGTCCATGACGTTTGTTAGGAGGTCCTTATTTCTTGGGAAACTTTGCCCAGAGTTAGCAGAAAGATGGACGGAAGGTACATTTAAATGTCTGCTTTTTGCTGGCTGCTATGTCAGATGCCTTAGCTGTGCTAGCTTAACGAATCTTCATAACCTCTTGAAGCAGGTGTTATTACCTCCAGATCAGGAAACTGAAATACAAAGATGCTGGATAATGGACCTATGGTCAAATGGCTACCAAATGGCAGAGCTGGAAACAACCTGGCCCATCTGACTGCTGAGTTCAGATTCTTTCTGCTTTGCAGAGCTAGTTTGTTATTGTTAGTACACTTTCAAATTTCATTAAACTTGCAGGCGTAGACAGCTTTATATCTTGGTGTGACTTCAGAGGACATAGTTTTGTGAGCTGCTCAGGTGTAGAGAAATACGGTGATTGATCAGGTTACACATAGATTACCAACAAACCTGAATTCCAATCCACTGTTCTTTCTTGAAAGCACTAACTAAAACTTCGTTGTTGTTATATGTTTAAGTATGTCATTCACTACTTCACTAACATTAGTATACGTTGCTTAGCTTGACATCTTTATTTAGAAAGGTCTGTCTGTTGGACGTTATTATACTTGATAGGATTTGGGGCAGAATAATGGTGCATATTATGTGAATGTGATACCTTCATTTACTGAGGAAGTGTTAGATTATGCTGGCTTTATTTCAGATTTTAAGCGTGGCCATTGGGCAGCTTAGAAGAATAGTTGAGTCCCCATTCCAGAATGAGTGGTCTTGGTTTAAGATACAGAGCATCAACCACATGAATGACCACTTCACAAACTAGGGTGGCTCTACTTAAAAAGACAGATAACAAGTGCTTGGCAAGGATGTAGAGAAAATGGAGCCCTCATACTTCGCTTATGGGAATGAAAAATGATGCAGCTGCTTTGGAAATAGTTTGGTAGTTCTTTAAAAGGGTCAGTGTAAAGTTACATATGACGCAGCAATTCCATGCCTAGAGAAATGAAAACATGTCCACATGAAAACTTGTACACAAATGTTCACAGCAGGATTATTCATAATAGTCAAAAAGTGGAAAGACTCCAAATATCCATCAACTGGTGAATGAATAAATGTGGTATATCTATACAGTGGAAAATTATTCAGCGTGATTCATACAGTGGAATATTACTCAAAAAAGAACAAAATATGGATACATGCTTCAACATGGACGAACCTTGAAAACATGCTAAGTGAAAAAAGCCAGAACAAAAGGTCTCATATGATTCCATTTGTATGAAATAGCCAGAAGAGGCAAATCTATAGAGACTTAAGGTAGATTAGTGGTTCCTAGGGGTGGGGCAGGGGGAAAGGGTTGGTGGAAATGGGGAAATGGGGGTTAATGTGCATAGGGTTTCATTTTGGGGTGATAGTTGCACAACTCTGTGAATATACCTAAACCATTTGGGATCCTGCACTGCTAATGCACATAGATTCCTTTCTTCACACCTTCTCATATGCATTTCTACTGAATTACTTTTAAAAAGATAAAGATTATTGTTAAAAAGATATGTGCTGTATAAGGATATGGGAATTGAAGAGTTACTTTTCTTTTTAAACTTCAGTATGTTTTCAAGTAGTATTTTTGCTTAGTTCCTTTTAATTTCTTAAGTTTGGTGTCCATTTGTGTATGCTTAAGGCTGAGAAAAAAGTAGGGGTTTTTGTCTTTTTTTAAAATTCTCTAGTTTCTATGGAAGGTGAAGATTTTTAAAAGATTTGGTAATGGAGCCTCACAGCTGCTATGTCATCAAGACTGAAAGCTGACCTTTGAGACTGATTTTATTATTAGAGGGATTCTAAGTGTCCACCTGTTGTACAGTTTAATTTGTACTTTTTTTAGGGGGGGAGGAGTAAGTATGGGAATGTACAGTCTGTTGGCTTGGAATAAAGTAGGCAGAGACTAGCTATTTTCTCTGTTTAAAGCTTTGTGTAAGTGTTGAAATATATCATATTAAATTTGAAATTCATACAGTTTCTGAGTTCATGGCTTACAGGGTGAGCATCAGTTTCCAAATGCACTGAATAGGGTCTAGGAAATTAAAATGTGGCCCTCGATGTTCCATGAAATGGTCTTTGAGTATTTGATTCACCTCCACTATGTGTTTAGACAGGAATTGCTAATGGTTATCAGTGACCTGTTCATTAAGGGATTGCTTACAAAGCATCTTAACATTATAGTTTAAGGATTTTACAAAACATTAGGCCATGTTATTTTAGCACTTTAATGTTGGTAAAGTCAAGTTTTATAAAAAATGTTTATTTTTAAAAAATAAGGCTTTTATTTTGGCCATGAATGTTTCCTATTCAAATGAAAGGTTTCATGGAAGAGAGTTGATAATGAATTTCTTTTTCTTAATTTTTCTTGAGAAAATGTTAATGGTTTTTCTTAGAGGTAAGGGAATAGAGGGTTTATGCCACTTGGCTTCTAACTGAGCTTTTTGAGAAGAAGAGACCTTGTGGGACGAATGAGGCTTGTGCTAGTCTGCGGAATCAGGGATATCTGATTTACTTGCATATTGCACACCTCAGGAGGCCTGCCCTCTCAGGAACAGAGTTCTCCCACTTATTTTCCCCCACCCCAAGTCGTGTTTTGCTTGGAACCTGTTGGATCATGGCAGTCGCTTTGTGCTTTCCTCTATGGGCAACTGGCATTTTGACTTCAGGACAGGGATTGGAGTTTGGCACCGAGGGAAGGAGATTGTTGCTGGGCATCAGGGGAGGTTGCTGAGCGCCAACACGGTACAATTCAGGTCCGGGATTGCATGGTCCAGAGTTAACATTTGAAACTGGTGTGATTAAAGAGGGAGATTGTTGCTGGGCATCAGGGGAGGTTGCTGAGCGCCAACACGATACAATTCAGGTCCGGGATTGCATGGTCCAGAGTTAACATTTGAAACTGGTGTGATTAAAGAAAGAGGCTGCGTGGAGGGGGGAAGGACTATAGAGCAGGAACGGGAAGGTCATCCCTGGGGTTAACTGTGGCTTGGCCCCCCAGGGGAGTGCACTACATGGGAACTCCAAATTCTGGGCAATTTCTTGAATTTTTGGGAGGAACTGTGCGGTGTGCTTGGATGTCTCGCCAAACCTTGTTCTTGTTCTTGACCCTGAACATAACACCATGTTTGATCTGGTTTTCCATTACTGAACTTTTCCATTATTGGAGCCAATGAATGTGAAGTGTCATAATGATGGCGAATTATGAAGTAGTCTTTTTCTTCTAGTCATTGATTTTCTAGGGCTTTAACTATGAGGACAATAACTTTCTTTACCCCCCAAAAATGAGTAGTCATTAATGGTATATTGCAGTGTTCATATAAGTACGTGGGATTGTGTATGTGTCTACCTAACAAGATCCACTTTTTTCCTGAGTTGTACAATCTGCTTTAACTATGAGGACAATAACTTTCTTTACCCCCTAAAAATGAGTAGTCATTAATGGTATATTGCAGTGTTCATATACGTACGTGGGATTGTGTATGTGTCTACCTAACAAGATCCACTTTTTTCCTGAGTTGTACAATCATATCTCCTTTTTTTTTTTTTTTTTTGTCTTTTTTTTCGTGACCGGTGAGGGGATCGCAACCCTTGGTGTGGTGTTGCCCACACTGCGCTTGAGCGCACCGGCCATCTGAACCCGCGACGGGAGCGTTGCTGCGCTCCCAGCGCCGCACTCTCCCGAGTGCGCCACGGGCTTGGCCCATATCTCCTTTTAAATGTTTCAAATGGTTGAATGTATTATTCAGCCACCGGCCATCTGAACCTGCGGCGGGAGCGTTGCTGCGCTCCCAGCGCCGCACTCTCCCGAGTGTGCCACGGGCTTGGCCCATATCTCCTTTTAAATGTTTCAAATGGTTGAATGTATTATTCAGCCATCTAAAGTGTACAATTCAGGTTTTTAGTATGTTCACAGAATTGTACAACCATCATCACAGTCAGTTTTAGAATACTTTTTATCACCAGGAGAACACCCAAAGCCTTTAGCTAGCACCCTGTATCCCTTCTTCCCCCCAGCCCTAAGCAACTACTAATCTACTTGATATCTCTATAGATTTCCCGGTACTGGACATTTCATACGAATGGTGTCACATCTTTTAAGTGTATTAAGTGCTTACCAAAACCTGCTATTTAGAGGAACCTAGTGGTGAATCTTTAATTTTGTGCATCTAAATTTTCAAAAATATAAAGTTAAAATATATTTTTCCCCAGAAAATATCTTGAAATAATTTGCTGATCAGAGGAATGAGCACTATTTATAACATCATGATCAGACATAGGCAGTCTTTCTATGTGATTATCAGCATGCTATTTGACATAGTGAATTTCAAAGCTGTAAGGCAGTTTTCTTCAATGTTTGAAATGAGGTCTTCAGAGCAAGTTCAGAATATTTACAGACACTCGGTTTTGAATGACTCATTCATTTCAGGCGGGCGTTTTAGCTAGCAAAAAATCCTCACTAAAGCAATACCTTGAGCTTTGTGTGGTTACTGCATTCCTTCAGATTGCTTTGTTCTACAGGAAGATTTCTTTATATAAATATTTTGTTGACTTTGCCAAGGTAAGTTTAAA